GATGTGGGGATTGAGCTGGCTCAGTGCTGGTAAAATTGCTGTCAGCGGAAGACATTTAACATCCTGTGCTGATTCTAAACAAACATAACTTCTCTTTAAAGTCCTTCAAAGCAGGTGGAAGCTTTGAAGTGGTTAAACCTGGTCCTATCTCCCCCTTCTTCCCCCTCGTGGTTTTGCGCTGTCATCAATAGATGAAGGTAATCAATGCCTACGTGAGTGTTGGTGGGCACCTCCAGAGATGGCTGCGTGCCGTAGCTTGGAGCTCACACCAACCCCACGGCCCCTGGCTGGGGTGGAAGAAGGTGTTAAGGTCACCTTCACCTGCAACCACCTTTAGCAATCCTCAGCCAAGGGGAAAATGCAGTTAAAACAGAATAACCAGAGTGGATGAAGCCCCATGCAAGAGCAGTGTGGTATCCACTGGTATACATGGAGACCAACTCTTGGCTGTAATAGCTACAGATCAAGCTACCACCTCCCCAGGCTACTGTCATAACAAGATCTGTTACTATTAATTTACAAGATGTCTGCCTCATCCTATGCAGCTCTGTGTTCTCGTCAGGTCTGTAGATGGCTAAACTCCCTTTATCTTCACTAGGAATTTTTCCTCTTGGACTTGGTTTGCAAAAGGTCATCTGATGCCTCATATACTCCTTTTTGTTGAGTTTCATTTCGATTTCCATTCCAGGTCAGCACTGAGTTCCCGATGGATGCTAATTATTCTTTGTAAGTCTGGGACCAGAGCTAGGCAGAAAATTAGGAGATGTGTAGATTGCTGCTATTTCAGTTCAACCCCTCCATTTCATGCCAAGATAGCAGTTCTTAAAATCTTCCTCAGCAAAATTAAAAGCCGTGAAAATCCCTTAGATAAAGAGTTATGGGGCTGGCCTAAGCTGTGCCTGTTGGGCATGTCCATACTGGTGCTAGTCCATGCTCGTGACTCATCCTTGCAGCACGAGCAAAAGCTTTTGCTCAGGTTTTAGGTGACTTTTGAGGCTGAACTCATTAGGATGGGGTCTAGCACGCTCCTGAAATACTTTCAGAGCTAATTTTGTGTGGAGCAGTCTGTGGTGGTCCAGACACCGCTATGACCTGTTCTCAAAACAGGGGAAAATAACATTTTCAGGGCTTATTTCAGATTGCAGCCAGAATTTGTAACTTTTGGGCACCTTCCCCGCAAATTGGCCTTGGGATGTTAAAGAGTGATGGGGGAGGTCTCAGAACTGCGGGGGCGTTCTCCAAACCAGGGTTAGTTTTAGTGTTACAGGAGCAACCGATAGGGTATCTTAGAGAACAGTTATTTTTACTCTTCCCAGAATACCAAAAAAAAAAAAAAAAAAAAAAAGCTGCTGCTTTTCCTTTCACTTCTTTGCTGCGTGTAAGGAATATATACATTTATAAAGCAGCATCTCTCGATGATGTAAATATGCTGGAGCATCAGGCCATTTCCAGATAGCCCAGTGCAACTAAGGGGGTGTAGCCGTGCCATGGCTGTTTGGACAACATGAGCTCACGGTGACCTAGGACCCTATCAGGCAGACATTTGATGGAGAGTCATCGGACCTGGAAGGGGGATTTAGGTCACCTTCCCAAGACATCCCTCTCATCCCTACAACCAAGAGATGCAGACCCCAAGCAGGGCACCTGCCTTCTGGTTCATGTTTTGTATTAGTAAATTCAATGTGCCTGGCACTCAGACGTGGTGATCCAGGCTGTGAAGTTGTTAGCATGCTCCTGCCTACATTTCTGGCCCGGGGTAATTAGTACTTTTCCAAGCGATTGTTGGGCTGGGTTCAGGAGCTGGCATATTCCAAGAGCAGTTCCCAACCGGTTGTTTTCCCTCACTCATCTGTGGTGGAGATGGAGAGATTTAGGAATATGTACTTTTGTGCTAATTAATCGTGGTAAGTTGAATTTCTGGGCACTGACGCAACCAGCACAGAATAGTCTGTGTTTATTCTAGCAATGCTTTTTTACAGTTTATGTGTTGCCTGAAGATCAAAAATAGTCACTTGAAATCAGCTTGATGCACCAGGCGTAGCTGTAGTAAATGTTCTGAGTTTCTCTCCTCCTTCCTCTGCCTCTGCAAGCTCTGGATAGCAGATATGTGGGATTTGGCACGCTGGGCACTTGAGCATGGTCACAGCAGGGAGAACCTGGTCCATCCCAGGTGTGGCAGGACTCCATACCAACGTGGCCCGTGCTTTCTCACATGCTTGAAGGGATCAGCCCTAGTGTAATGCTCGTGGTGTAAAATCATGCCCGTTTGCCCGGAAAGGATGTAGAATAGAATCATAGGTAGTTTGGGTTGGAAGGGACTTTTAAAGGTCACCTAGCCCAACCCCCCTGCCATGAGCAGGGACATCTTCAACCAGATTAGGTTTCTTAGAGCCTGACCTTGAATATTTCCAGGGATGGGGCATCTACAGCCTCTCAGCACAACCTGTTACTTCTAGATACGTGCTGAATTCATGGGACATGCTTGGTATTTACAACTTTGTCAACAGGGTAAAATATTTCAAGTTCAATAGTCCTCTATCCTCCACTTCCAGAGAAAATCTTGGCTGAGCTATTTCAGAGCTGGTGGACATAGTGCATCAGCATGCACCCACCTAAGAACAGCTATTGGTTTGTCCTTTGCTTGCAAAGCCAGGCTTATCCTGGGAGATGCAGGGTAGTCCAGGGTCCTGTGGCCAAGTATAGTGGAGCTGAGTACTGGCAGAATTGTTATATCTGCATTAAGACCAGCAAAGCAAGGATGGAGAAGAGCAGAAGAATTCCTGCTCGTTTTTAAGTCAGATGAGAGTGGCTGTTGCATTAACAGGACAGCTCTATTGCATGATCTCTTGCTTTAGCATTTTGGTGGCCAGCCCATGGGAGAGCAGAAATGGATTCCCTGCCAGCCCATAGATAGCACGGAGGCTTTTTCCTCCCTTTTCCCCACCTTGTGTGTCTGCCTTGTCTACAGAGATCACAGGGTTTTCAGGGAGCGGCCCGTCTCTTTTCTTTTTTTCCCCACTTCTCTCTGCATAATGTGGTGCATAATGAGGTTGCCAGGCACTATGGTAACAAATACGATCACGCTGCTTCAAAGCTCACCTCCATATAAGCCAGCACTTTCTGAGCAGCAGAATGAATAAATCCTGGTTTGTGTTGTGTCTGGTCTGTGTCCAGCCCCTGCGTGCACAGTACGACAGCCTCCATCCTGTGTCTCTGCTATGCATCAGTTTGTTGGTTGACCTGGTGGTCCATGTGGGCTGGTTGTCCAGCTGGTCTTAGGAGGAGTGAGAAAATGAATTTTACCTGCCTTTCCCTCAGCTGAAGAACTGGATGTTCCTCCTGCGCCTGCTCACTGGTTTTGAGGAAAGGTGTTCTGATTTTCACCTTCAAGATTTCTACATCTGCCACAAAGATTATGGAAAATAATGGCTTCAAAAAGTGCTAGGAAGGAATCTGACAGATGGACATGGGCAGAGAGAGCTAGTGCATGATTCTATTTTCTTTTGGAAAACAGTTGAAAATACCTAGTCTACTTTGGAACAAAAGTGGATCCTAGGACAAAGCCTCTTCTGAGGAGTTTAGAATGTATTTTGAGTTTGTCAGTAATGTGTTCACATCGTTAATCCAGTTCTTTAAAGATTTGTCCTCTTCCTTTTTCTCAACTCTTCACGCAGGAGGGATATTTTAACAAGGCACTGCAGAGAAATAGCTGGGGACGAGCGGGTGACATTCACTGAACAGGAAAGAAGGAGACATGGATGAGCCCATTCGTGTATTGCTCATTCAGTGCAACAGTTTCATGAGGAGTAGCATCCTTCACACGGGAAGTGTCCCTGGCTCTTGGCAGTATTATGCAAGCCCAAGAAGGGCTGAATAGTAAAAGAGGGTTAGGGAAATGAAGAAATACAAGGAAAATAAAAAGTAGATGGAAGGAGAATAAACACTAAGAAAGGATGGAGAGATGGAGTTGGGGTTTGGCTCATAGATTAAGATACCTACGCTTAGTGGTGTATGGGTGTTCTAGATGTTTGTGTTCCCATCAGTGGAGTTCTAGTTGATTAACAGAGCCTGAAGGGTCATTCAGCTCATCCTAAAGCAGTCACCTTTGACACAGGGAAAGGCTCTCCAAGCTCCACTGACTCTCTTAACCAGTCTGTGTTAACTTCCACAAGGACACAGTCACCCTGCAGATGTGGTGAGACCTTAACGTTGGTGTCTTAGGAGATACACACCTGGGAGACTCTTGCAACCAGCAGTTATCTTGGAAGAGAAAGGGGTTTTTTTTCTGTCTTTGCAGTGGGATTATGTGAATGGGAAGTAGTACTGGGTGGGCGGGGAACTGCACTGATCCTGCATGTGAAGGAATCATTTATTACGGTCCCTGAGGTGAACTTCTGCAGCCTAGCCTCCTGACTAAGTGGGTGCTCTGATGACCAATGAAGTGTTCATGCCCATACTGAAGCTTTCCTGAGCCTCTGGACTCAGTCCAACTGCTTATCTTCATAAAAGTGAAAGCTGAATATCTCCGTGGCCATTTGTCAGATTTAGTTGAAGCTTATTAAGATGTTCAGAGCTGTTATGGGAAGGGAGTGACTAGCAGCACCCGCAAACAGATTTCATTTCCCTGATAAACCAGGCTGAAAACAAATAACACAACCAAAGATGGTTGAGTGGAACAGGGCAGGAGGGACAGGGTCTGCAACTTAGTGGTCCCATTACCTCAGAGGTCCTGAAGTTAAGACAAGGGCTTTGATTTCCATGGAAAATTCACCCCTTTAGGAGGGCTTGTATCACCACCATTAGGATAGTTCTGGCTTGCATTGGAGTCTTAAGGATCTGAACACTGCCTGGGATTATGTCTGAGCACAACCTGTTTTGCACACTTGGGGTTTCTCCATCCCCATTCTCAGATGAATGGCAATTTTTAGAGAGACCTTGCTGAGCAACGGGGGATTCCATTCCCACATTACCACTACTCTCCTGTTGATTTCATTCCTGAACCCCTTTCTTTTTTTTGATCTTCAGAAACGAGTTCAGACCCTGGGTAGATGTCAAGCCGGTGAAAGCTATAAAAGCCAAGGCCCAGTACAAGCCGCCAGAGGAGAAAATGACCCATGAAACCAGTTACAGCGCTCAATTCAAGGGGGAAACCAGTAAGCCTGCTCCAGCCGATAACAAATTCCTGGAGCGCAGAAGGATACGCACTCTCTACAGCGAACCCTACAAAGAACCGCCAAAGGTGAGAAACGCAGCAGAAGGGACCTAGGGCCATCGCTGCTCCTGGTGGGACATGTCCAACACAGTAAGGCTGGGCTGAACACTGCCTGCTGTCGTTCCCCTTACGTGGCATCTTCATTTCTGACCAGTGGGTGCATCAGGGGATCCACCTTGGGGATGGTGGTGGATGGAAAACTGAATATGATTTGGCAAAGTGCGCTTGCCGCCATTCTGCACAAGGCACCCGTGTGCTTGCAGAAAGGCACCTGTATGCTGGGCAGCAGGGCCAGGGGGGGATTCTCCCCCTCTGCTCCGCTCTGGGAGACCCCCCTGCAGGGCTGGGTCCAGCTCGGGGGGCACCAACAGCAGAAGGACACGGACCTGCTCCAGCGGGGCCAGAGGAGCCACGGAGATGCTGGGGGGGCTGGAGCCCCCCCTGTGAGGACAGGCTGGGAGAGTTGGGGGGTTCAGCTGGAGGAGAGAAGGCTCCGGGGAGACCTTAGAGCGGCCCCCCAGGGCTGGAAGGGGCTGCAGGAATGGGGGGAGGGACTCCTCATCAGGGGGTGTAGGGATAGGACAAGGGATAACAGGTTTAAACTGAAAGAGAGTAGATTTAGGTTAGATGTAAGGCAGAAATTGTTCCCTGTGAGGGGGGTGAGGCCCTGGCACAGGCTGCCCAGAGAAGCTGTGGCTGCCCCCTCCCTGGAAGGGTTCAAGGCCAGGTTGGACGGGGCTTTGGGCAACCTGGGCTAGTGGAAGGTGGCCCTGCCCGGGGCAGGGGGGTTGGGACTTTAAGATCCCTTCCAGCACAAACCATTCTGTGATTCTATGGGCTGTGGTACAGGTTGATGCACTTTGGAGACAATAGTGCCCTCCATCAAGCTGTGAGGGTAGGGCCCAGATGAAGAGGTTTTTGCATTGCCATCTCCCAGGTGATTATCTAGACAGCTTTATCTTTCTCCATCCAAAACTGTAGGCACCCCACATTATACTTTATCCCAGTAACAACATGGTAAGAACCAAATCTTCATCTGCAGTTAATTCAGGGGGCTCCATAGACTTTGACAGTAAGCACTTTTGGCTTTGATCAGATTGAGGACATGTGTCAAAAAGGGCCTGGACTGAAATGTCGTCCACCATCTAGGAGCAGTGGAGGATCTGCATATAATAGGAGTCAGTCTGTCCTAAACCCAGGACCATTACTCCTTCCCAGAGTTTTTAAGTGCTTAGATCTGTGAGGTCAGGGATGGCAGAGCCATCATGGAGGAGCTGAAGGCTTTTGTTCCTCCTTAATCTTCAAGCTGTCGTCTCTGTTTTGGGGGGGCTGTAGAAACAGGTGGATGCGAGACACTGTTGTGAACTTTGCTCAGGTGCCAGTTGGTGTCTTAATGACTTTCCCAAGTAATTTTCCTCTGTTGTGGCAGTCTATTAAGGGACAGACTGCGGAGTCATGTCCTGCAAGAAAGTTGGGGATTTGAAGCAGCCTCTTTGTCCTGGGCATCATTTATTTTCTTCAAATCCAGAGAGAAATTCCCTGTGGGCTTGTAAAGCCCTTCCTGAAGTCAGAGAAAGATGGAGGAATTGATAAAATGACTGATAACATTCCCTCTCCTATTAACCCTACTGTGTCCTGATCTGGATGTGATGGGCTCTGCTGGCTTCAGGGGCACTGTGACTTCAGGGCATCAGCACCTTGAAAGGAGTTGGCCGTTTGCAACTCAGCATACCTCAAACTGCTCCCCTCCCTTCGTGGCAGGGCGGAGCAGAGTAGACAAGGAACATTCAAGCTGCTTCTGATCTAAATCCTGTTTTCCACCTGTCCTTGTGTCTCTCTCTCTCTCTCTCTCTCTCTGTCTCCCCATCTCTGTGTTGTCGTTTTTGCATGTCGCCCTCCATGCAGGTGGAAAAGCCTAGTGTAAAGCCTTCCAAACCAAAAAAGACCACAACAAGCCATAAACCCCTGAAAAAGGCCAAAGACAAGCAGATTGCATCTGGCCGGGCTGCCAAGAAAAAGAGCGCTGAGACCTCCAACACAGCAAAGCCAGAGGACAAGGAGAAAAGTAAAGAGATGAACAATAAACTGGCTGAGGCAAAAGAGTAAATGTCACTGCACTTTCCTTTCCTTCTCTTTTTTTTCCTTTTCTTTCTTTCTTCCTTTTTTTTTTTCTTTGATTAAATAAAGGCCACAAAATTAATTAGAGGCTTCTAATCTGCTTTTTGTTCTGATTGTATTAGAAGCTTTTCTGTTTTATTTCCAAGGAGGATTAGAGAATCCTTGTTTCTGAGGTCAGGTTGTTCTGCTTTGCCTGCACAACACGGCTCTGCACAGAGTGAGGGATGTGGGAATGCACAAGTGGGGTCGTAGGAGATGAAGGTGATGGGTCACCTGTGATTGTGTCCAACAGCCTGTCCCTTTCCTTGGGCTTGGTCCTTCAATGCTTTGACAGCGTGGAATGCCCGTTGAGCCATGGAAGGGCTGTGCTCTCATCCCATGAGGCCCTTCTGGGGTTGGCTTTTGTTTGGTCACCTCCCACTGGTGTCAGCAGGTGAAGGGTTTTGGAGACAGAGAGGATCAGATGTTCATACGTGGTGCCGTGGATCTGCAGTAAATCCACCAGTCAGTGGTGTGGCCAAGAGCAGTTTCCCCTGGTGACACTGGTGGGACTCTTGCTCCAAGAAGCAAAGGAAGGAGATCCTGTGCAAATAAAGGCCCAAACCTTCCCTCAGGATAGCTGGGGGATAGTTCCAGCTGCATCAAGGCAGCTTCACCCATCAACACCACTCAAAGGACTTGATTAATTAAAAAGAAAAAGGAGTGAGGGAAGGCACAGAGAGCAGTGAAGACTTCCCAAGCATGTGGCAGGTCAGACTAGGTTATCAGCAGGCTGTTCTTCCCTATTGTTTTCCCTAGGTTATGGATCTTTTGAGTTATTCCTGGTTTGTTTTGAATCTTGGTCTGCTTTCTTCGCTTCTGGGGTGCCAGTAGACAGAGCTAGATTTCAGAAAGAGGTTGAGTTGGCAGACGTGGCCTTCCAAGGGGTAGAAAGAAGTAAGTCACCAAGGTTGTCTCGAACTGTCAGCCCCTGTTGTTTTGACTCTACCAGCTGTTGGAGTTCATGTGGGCTTGTAAGCATCCCAAGAGGGCCATAAACCAGTTGCTGGGATCCCCAGACTCCCTCCAGACAACATCTCAGGGTTTCAATCCTATTTACTGTGCTCTTACTCTAGGAAATCCCCGTGCCCAGCAAGACCAGTATGGAAGTTGTAAACACAGCGAGACCATTTGTCAGCGAGTATGAACTGGCCCAACAGACTGGCATTGCATACCCCAAAATTTGGGTTGCTGAGTCAATGGGAGCTGGGAGAGGTATGGTCCCAATCCAAATTTAACTCCAGGGTTGGGTCCTTAAATGTGTAAGGATTAATCGTGATCCCACCAAACTGAGCTGTTAAAAGTCTCCTGTAGCAGAGTAGCTGCAGGTCAGGATGCAGGGTTCTTCTTTATTTTTGCAGCTCGATATTTCTGTCCTAACGTGTAGTCCAGCTTGAAACTTTCGGAGAACAGACAATTGGGAAGAATTAAGAGAGAGATGGGAAGTAGAGTAGGGAGGTGGTGTAAGAGGAGAGTATCAGAACTGTGTTGCTGTAGAGGTGTTTGACTGAGGAAAGTCTTGCTGCTGGGATGTTGTAGAGAGGTGAAACTATCTAACAGAAAAAGAGGTGGGCTGGGAGAAGGAGGAGTCCTGGTTTTGGGGTGTCACCCCGTTAACATTGGGTCTTTCGGAAACGTAAATGAGTGGTGGGCTGCTAGGCTGAGAGAAAGTTTCCGAAGAGGAGGAAAGCTCTGTGGTATACAGACAGTGACATTTGCTGGCCTTAGTAATGAATAAATGCCAAGTTCAGTGTATTGTGTGATGTGTCCTGTTTGCCTTGCGCTAACAGCCTAAACCTTTGAGTATAAGTAAGTGTAGTGTTCTGAATTCAGTGGTGTATTTCCAAGCTTAGCTGTGTTAGAACTGTGTGCTATGAGCTAGTCAGGTTGTGTATGTGGAAAAATATATATTCATATATAGAAATATATATATTTAAACCTCCGATGTTTAGGAGGAAACCAGGGAAATCCTCCAGGAAGTAAAACTGTGGAAATCTTTGCGAATGTAGTGCATTTTTTGATGTGCATGCTCCATGGAGACGCTGACCTGTCCATATTGACCATTGCTTTTCTGAGTGCTCAGAAGCCCCTGCAGCACCGCTCAAGTGCAAATCTCAGCTCTGTCTCCAGAGCAGCTCGGCGAAAGGCTTGTGTTGAGCTGATGGAGAGGAGTGCTGCTGCTCACAGCTCTTCCCACCCCGTCACACAAGGGACAACTGGCCAGAGAAGCCTGAGCTTCCAAGACTTGGTGTGATTCCTTGGCATTTAGATGCTTCATGCATCTTCACGCTCCTCAGTAACGTCCTTTCCAATCGCAGGATATAGCAACAGCCGTGAAGATGACGTGTCACAGCAGGCAGAACATGGCAGGAAGGCACGTAGACAGTTACCAATAGCCCAACACACCGATCTCACTTTACGTAAGGAAAGGCCTTGCCAAACAATTCTCCCTATTATTTTTTGACCCTAAGTTGCACATTGAAAGAGACACCACACTTGCCACCATTTCACCTTGAACTCAATGGGAATTTAGCCCTTGACTTCAAGGCTAGCCAAATTTTGCCCAAGGAACATCATGAAGATGCTCAGACCACCTAAGGCAAGCATCTCCGTGATTCTGGATCAACTGCTCATCACCCAGGGCTTTGGGATTGCTTCTTCTCAATGAAGAGCATCCATCAGAGTGTTTGAATGAAGCATGCACCCCAAGCCATCAGAATATGGCCCTATGATTCCTTAACACATGAAGGTTTTTGGTGGCATCTAACTAAAAAGCTAAGTATGAAGGGCTAGCCAGCAGTCTAAATTCCCTCTCTAGTGAAGGAACTTTCCAAGGGCCATTGAGCTACCTATTTTGGACACCTTTCTGTGGGTGGGATGAATGATCCTTGGAAGGTTTCAATCTTTGCAGAAAGAGCCTGGGAGACTGGTAGGACCTGGGGACCTCCCTCTCAGACAGCAACAAAATAGGGGTATAAATCTCAGCCCATGTGCACCAGGTCCTCAGCATACCTCCAAGCATGCAATTCAGCATTGCACTGAATGCCAGGAACTGCAGCAGAGTCAGGCCTCGGGGTGAAATCCTGCACTGCTCTACCTTCCACAGACTTTATGCTCATTCGACCCACTCAGGTTTATCAGAAAGGAGACCAAATCTCTGCCGTTTCAAGTTCACTTTGGACTCTGAGCTTGTCGATCCCACTGGGAAAGAGTGCTCTGCTGTTCTGTGTTTCCAGCTACCACAATGCTGATTCTGTTTCACTGCTAATTTGTAATGTTTTGCTTTCCTTGTAAAAAGAAAAAAAAAAAAAAAAGAAAAGAAAAAAGAGAAATGTTTTGCTTTTTACCCTGTGAAAGTTCCTATGCTGTCTATTGCTTGCTTTCTCATTTTCACTGTATTGTACTGTTACTCCTTTCTGCAAAATGGTGCTATTTGCTGACTGAGCTCCTGTTTTCTGACTGCTTTGCACACCGATCACCTGCTTCTTCATTTGCAACGCGTCCGGTGTAAAAACATGGCTCCCACGAATTCCACAAACTCTTGCCTCTTGGAGGCAGATAGGAAGTGTCTAATTAATATTTTGTGGCCTGGGTTTGGTTGCGTATCACAAATTGTCTCTTGTAATGTGTTAAGCACACCTCCTCGTGGTGCTTTTCTTCATTCTTGCTGTTCTAATGAGAATCACACACACACACACACCACACAAACACACACAAATTAATGTATAGCCAATTGATTGTGACGTGCTTGTGATCTTTGCTTGCTCAAAGGGTTTTTTTTTTTTTCCAATGATAAATAAATGCTAAAGACGAATACCACCTCCTTGATCTTGTTTTCTCGATAAGAAGCACAATTAAGTGAAAGAAACGCCCTTCCAACAGTAATCAGATTTGTGTTGCATAGAGCCACCACTTCCATGCCTGCTGTAGGGACAACTGTCACAGTCTGAGTCCCTTTAGATGGCCGCTAACCTCAGACTAGCCTGACGTGAGAGCTAAGCATTTGCAGAGGTGAAGATGGACAGTGAAGTCATGTGGACGGAGCAGGTAGTTTGCTTTTATTTTCTCTGTGTACAGCCTCTGGAGCAGAGGGTTCGTGCAGTGAGTGCCCTGCATGCAGACCTGCTGCACCTTGCTCGTGCCCACGTCACCCTGGATTAGGGAGCAGAAACTGAGCCCCATCGAGAGCTGGAGGGAGGGGAGGTGATGTGGATGAAGTCACTTAATTACACATCCTTTTTCCAACTGCCTGCAGCTTTTACTTTGGCCCAAAGCCACCTGAAAGGGCCACGAGAGGGGTCAAGGGGATGTAAATCCTCACTGAAAGGAGGTGGCAAATTCTTGGGTTGAGCACTTTCAGCATGCTGCAAGGCTGGACACCGTTGAACAGGCACTTGGCAGTGTCTGTGGAAGTGCAAAGCCCTGATTTTTACATCAGAGAAAATGATGGATGAGAAGAAAGCAGGGCTGAGGGCACAGTTTTGTTTTAAATGGTGAACCCTAATCTTAGTTTCATCTCTTTTTGCTTATAATTAGCCTGTAAGCTCCTGCCTGCAATTTTTATTTTTCATCATGTTTTCTCTTTTAATGGCTATGCCAATAACATCCTTACCAACCTGGGGAGAATTGGAGTTGTATTTTGAAATCTCTCCTCCAACATAGCTCTGACGATTTCTATTGGAGCACCAACCCTTTTCTGTCTTGCCGTTTCTGGGTGCTATTTCTCATCCTTGCCTGGTTTACAAATCGCTTCCTGAATTTATTCCGTCTGTGACTACATGCTAATAACAGTGCTGCTTTCTAATGACCTGCTGTATCACCCTGCCTTCCCCCTCCCTTCCCCACCAGCTTCATCCGTTCATCAATCCCACACACTTACATGTTCGGAAAAGCGTTTCAGCTGAGCTGTAGGTCTGGGGATTTATCATTTCACCCCTCCACAGTTGGTATTGGAAAAAATGTTCATTGGTTGTTGATGAGGCTTATCTGTGACAATCTGTGTTGGCCAACAGAATGGTTCTCCCATGACACAAAGGTGCAGGGTGTTTTCCCATGCTGCAGCACGGGTGGATAATCCATCTGGTCACACTCACTGCTGGAAAACATGCCTGTGCTTCCCTGTCCCTCTCTGAACTTGCTCAGCACAGCAAAGCCTAAACACCCCAGGGGGCAGGATGCGTTTCTAAGAGAGAGCAGGACCTACTGGGCTGACGTGGGGATGTGCGCTCCCTGGTCTTTAACCATCACTGTCTGAACCTGCTGCTACTCACTCCTTAATCTGTGCCAAGCCATTAGTGACTGGCACTGCCCTCCTGTTTCCAAGGGCTGTTGTGAGAATGATGTCTGTGCAAAGCGCTGGAGGTGGGTTACTACAAATTAAATGCTTTGTCTTACAAGAGCATTTAGTGTGGAGGTGCTGACTGGAGTAAAAATAGTCTTTATTGTCCGTGTTGGTGTCTGGTGAGGGGACGAGGAGGGGGGAGAAAATATTGGCGTGTTGAATTTAAGGAGTCAAGTCTGCTTCTCACACTCTTAATAACGGAGCAGCGGAGTGCAGCTTTGCAGAAATGTTGCTTTGACTGCACAGTGTGTGAGCAGCCCCGTGAGGGGTGGCTGGTATGGTTTGGATTTTAATCAGCTGCTTTCAGATACATTGTGTGCTGAGGGCTTCAGCACACAGCCCCGAAGACGTGCATGGGTGGATGAAGAGATGCCTGCCTGGTGCTCTCATCCCTCCATCCTATCCCTTGTATAAGATGGGAGCTTAAGTGCCTTGGGCACAGGACTGAGATTTACCAATTTTGCCACTTCCAAATCTCTGAGCTTCCTTTGGAAATCTCAGTTATTATTACATCCCTGACTGGTAAAGCGAGGTCAAAGGATGAGTGTGGATATTTTGTGGGCTGACATGTCAGCCTTTATACGAATGCACCGATATCCTTTGGATTTAGGGGTTATTTAGAGATGTGCCAGTGCCAGTGAGAAAGGGACTTTTTAAGAAGATGTCTCTGTCATAGCTGGTACCTCCCAACATCGAAGGAATAACCACCGTCCCCAACAGAAACGGCAAATAAAGAAGAGGAGCTGTGCAGGAAGAAGATCCCTAGTATGATGTTGATGACATGGCCATGTTCAGCACTAAGAACAGTATCTTTTGCACAGTTGGGAAATACTGTGATGTTCAGACATGGGCTTCAGCTCTCCCTGTTTCCAGCAGCGTCATGGTAAGTTTGATCTAACTGGGGATTTGACAGCTCTCTTCCATTTACTGTTAGTCACCTGAGCTTTCTGGGTTGGGAACAATTCCACTAATGCCACTGGCTCTGCTCACAAGCTCAGAGGTCTGCGATGAGGGGTAACACATCTCTTAGTACTTCAGGACTGGTGGTTTATCCTGAACTATGGACTGCTTGTAAACAGTCTTAATTTCTCTTGCAGGGTGCCTTGGAAACAGTTCCCTAATCATGACTGTCACGTGGAGGAGTTGTGAGCCCAAGGACAAAAGAAAAGCCTGCTAATGGATTGAAGGCATCTTCATGCTTTCTAAAATGCCAGCTTTCCCTGCAGGGAGTCTGCTCCATGGAAACCCACAGCAAGGACCAGCCACAGAAAAATGATGGATGAGGAGTAGTGACAGATCTTGCGATATGTGAGAGCACTGAGGAATAACAGTTTCTTCAATGCCAGCAGTTCGATGATGTGAGAGATGGAAAGGGAGGAGCATTTCTGAACCCCCCTCATTGTCATCTGCCCACCTCCCACCCCACCTTAGCCTGAGACATTGCAGCAACCTCAAACCCCTGAGCAAAACTGGGTCTTCCCACATCTCTCCTTGGGCAGCCAGAGACCTGCGTGCCCTGCCTTGCTCAGAGAGCTGTGGGGAGCTGGGTCATGGCAGAGGGTGAGGAGCACCCTGCACAGCATGTGGTGGAGGGGAGCTCCCCACACGACGGCTGTGGCAGATGGGTCTGTCCTCATCAGTTAAACTGCACCCGGGAGCACTTGATGGTGCCAGTACCCAAGGGTCAAGATAGGGAAATCCTGAGAGCAGTCCCTGGTCTTCGGGCTGACCTGCTCCTTGGCTTGGTTCAGGATTTAGTTCCCAGCTGAGGACCAGTTCAGCCATGGCCACCTTTTTTAGAGCCCAGAGAGTTATCAGCAGGGACACGAGCCAGCAAGGCACCTTTCATTTAATGAATTAGATAATGTTTTGGAGTCGCAGAGCAGTGGACATCCTTGCCCCTGTTGCCCCTGCTCCCTCCCCTCTCCCCAAGTCTCATCGCTGATCAGACTTCTCTGTCCCTGTTGGCTCCTTCCCATGCAGTGGCCTCACTCCCCCATCAGACCCCATCTGCCCACCATGCTGCTATTCCTTCTTGCCTTCAAAATCGCTTTCCCTCCACCTTCCCTGCCAGCTTTTCCGTGTCTGTCCCACAGCTGCTTCTCCAACCCTTTGCTTTCACCCACATCTCCACCTTCAGCACCTTCCCCCTCCATGTCATCCTAAGCACCCAGCCCTACCAGGGACCTTCTCCTTCCCATCCTCCCCAAGTTACTGTCTCGTGTCCTGTCTCTCTTGGACTGTAAGCCTTTTTTTCTTTGCCTGTACTGTGTGATAACGTTCACTGCGTAGAATAAACAATACCTCACCTGCCAACTGCCCTCTCTCTCTCTCTCTTGTTTCTTAGTGTGGCTTCAGTAGATGTGTCTGCAAGTGCACTGTGTGTCTGTCCTCGTGGCCGGTTCAGCAGTTGGCCTTGCTGTCGGAGCTCTATCCGTAGTCTTTTGGGATGACTCTGCTCATGTTTTTGTTCCCCGGTACCTTTCTTTTTTACAGCCACAGAGACAAGCTTTGTTGTCTGTGTAGAAGCCCTGCATATTCAGAGCTGCATGACCTCCTGTCCTTTACGGTTCTGGTGCATCTGATAAAGAGGTTGCCTTTCTCCAGCTTTGTGCAGAGATGTCCTGGGCTGGCAAGTGGCTCAACAAATGGCAGCAACTGAGGAGAATGAAGGAGAAATCTTGTAGCCCAGAGCAGAAGCAGCCAAGGGTAAAGGAACCGCATTTCCTGGCACAATACAGAAAACAGTGGGCAGAAGTGTGCCAGTGGAAATCCAAACAGATGCACCTCTCAGGAGAAGCAGAAGCTGGCTTAGCAGCAGGACATGTTTCAGAGAGAGATGCCCAGGAGGCTTCTTGTGGTTCAGAAGGTGCCCTGGACATCTGCTTCTCCATCCCAGGCTAGGACTAGACATGTCCATGGTCTCTTCAGCCTGTGAGTACAGCAGAGACCCAATTGTGACTAAGACCCAGGTGGCTCCTTGCTGCCTCCTTGTCCTAATTTATTGCCTGAAAGTGCTAGTTTGGTCTGTGCTGGCTGGTGCTATCGGTGCACATGGAGATGATGCTTCTTCCCAGGTGCTCCATACACACAGGGAAAGTTACAGGAGCAGCTCAGTTCCTCTACCCTTCCTGTGACCCTCACTGCCCATGGTGTGACACCACCCTGCCAGAAAGCAAAGGCGACTCCGTCTCATGCCGAGTGAGCAGCTGAGCTCACAGCATGGCCATCGGCCTGGTTTCATGGGCCATCTGCAGAAGTTAGTTCTGAAGACCTAACTCAAGGTCAAACTGAAGCTGGTTGGTGGACATGGATGGGAGAAGGATCAAGCGGTGCCGAGTGCCCTGGGCTTCCTCCTTGGGTGTGCAAGGGCAGACAGAAGAGGTGAAATGTGTGGGAAGCTCTGATCCTCCGTGAAGATCCTGGAGATTTCATCTAGGACAAGTGAGACCTGCAGCTGAGTTGTGCTTGACATCCCCAGGCTTTAGGAATTCCAGTGTAGGTACTGGAAGGAGGCAGTGAGAAAGAAGATCCCTTGGTAGAGGTAATGCCCTGCATCCTTTCCTATGTGCCACCATGATCTGCTCCCACCTGCTGTGCTTTCACAGTGCTGCTGCCTCTCCAAACTCTAGACTCCAAGAATGAAAAAGCTCCAAACCAACCTAAAACAGCAGCCAGAAATCTCAGCTGCACAGTTTTAGGGACTGAATAGTCTTTAGGACAAGATTCCTGGATGCCACTGAGGTCCCTACCTGACCTTGGAGGTACCTTGAAGTCTTCTAACATCTAAATTTCTGCTAGCAGAGCTTTGTAAGACCTTCTATATCTGCTGCTTTACAGGTGGACATTTGTTTAAATTCTGAAGTGCTGAGCTCCTTGTTGCTCTCTTCATACCTACATCAGGTCAGATTTCACAAACAAACATTTTCTTCTCCTTCAGCCCTTGCTGGCCCCAAACTGGTGGATATTTCCAGGGCCCACCCCACTTACGCAAGCGATAACAATCCCTCTGCTTGCTTAGATACGGACCCAGGCTGAAATTCTTCATTTTCCTGCTGTAACTTAGAGTGTTAGCCCCACTATTTGATGCTGTTGCCTTTTCTAAGGAATGTAACTATATTAAGTACAACATTAAGGCCATTTTGCAGGACAAAGACTTGTATTTTTGTCGCTGTTATCACAGACAGCAAACTTCAATGCACAAAGGGCAGTAAAACATTCAGAAGAGAGAAGTGACTCACCTTATGCTGCAGCCTAATTGTTAATTGCATTTGCCCAGGAATCGATGAGTTTGTGTCTTCTGAGGAACATGAACCTGCCAAGGTCCTCCTGGGTGAGGGCTCTAACCAAAAGGTCAGTTCCTCCACAGAGAGACATCTCCTCACCTGAATTCTCTGGGAAAGAAAGGGCAGATTTCTCATAGTTCTTTTTTAAAAAATGTCCCTTCGGCACCAAACGTCACAGCTATATGTGCCTGCGACTCTTCTGCTGTTTCTGACCCACCAGTAGAGGATTCCTGCTGCTTCTAGTTGCTCTTGAAGGCAACTTAATTTTCCACATGGCTGGAGTTGGGTCTGTCTACACAGACTCTTCACAGCTCCCAAATAGTTGAAATGCTCTGAATGAAGATAATTTTGCAGAAGACGTAAATGTCATCAGCTCTTTTTGATACGAGACCACCAAGACATCAAGACCTGAATCCATAGAGGAACAAGGATGAGCTGTAAGCAGGTCCTCCACATCTGTGAAGAACAGGATAACGCTGTTGGAGCTCATCACTGTCAGAGGCAAGTTTAGACCCCAAGTCACAAGATCCCAGCTCCCTTTTGCTATACCAGGACCAGCAAAGAGGATACTCTGCTATGTGTGCTTATGGTGGTCATCCGTTGGTTATTTCCAAACACCACGTGCTGTCTCTGGGAAATGTAGTCCTGCTGAATTTCATACTTTTCTCTCTCTCTCAGACGTCACTCAAGTAATGATCTGTCACCTCCAATTCATCCCTTCTGCATTTCTCACCATGTCACATTACATAAATAACAGTTTGCCACCAGCAGCCCTTGTGAGGGCAAAGATCTCCGCAGTCTTTCCTCGCTTGGCTAAGACAAAGATCACTTGTAAATGTTGTTGCTTGTGTGTTAGGACTTGTGACATTTCAGGATCAGGCTTTCCTTTCAACCCTCCAATTTGCATCATCCCAGATCACTCTTCCCAGGCTGGTACCCAGGGTCAGACCTCGCTGTGCAGCCCTGCAGAGCAGCCAGGGCTGTTCTCCTCCCAGTGAGAGGCTGTGCGATGCTGTGTTGTCCCTGGTTACCGGTTCCTGGGGAAAAGACTTACCTCCCCCTCGCACTTCTTCCAGTTTAAAACAGGTTTGGAATGAGCTTTATTGGGAAGGCCGATCACACGGTTATCTGTATTCAATGCAAACGAAGAGGAAGCCAGGGGACAGGGATGGGGCATGACCTCTTTCTCCTCCAGGAAGCTGGGTCTTGGCCAACCTGCAATACATGGCTGAAGGATGCACACACTCATGAGAAAAGAGGCAACAGATCAAAATGAAGACGTATCCACCATGCAGACTTGTGCAGCGTGCACCAGCTTTCTTGGCTGCCTCAGCAGGGAGGTACCACACCAAGGCTGCTGAGAAGGGTGAATTCCCCTGGTGACTCTATCATCAGGGCTGAAGGGAAATGTTGATGGAGGGTGATTTCAAACAGTTTACGTTGCTCCAGGGAGGGCTGATTTTTGACTTTGAAGCTCTGTTGCAGGGCATCAGCAAGAGCAGGGTTGGACACCAAGGAAGAGGTGTGATTACTCTGGCGTTGACCCACCTACAACCTCGATCATTACATGCACACTGGCACAGGAAGACCTGAGCTCAGGCCCCACATTTACTGCATCCTCCCTTACCAGATCAGATGTGAAGATGTGCTCAGAGGGGGTGGCTTGGCATCTGGAGTAGCTGCTGGCAGCCTTCAGCCTGCCCAGCTCGTACGTGCGAGTGCCCTTGGGCACGCTCTCCGCTGGCGAGGATGTTCAGGTGTCTCCAGCCTTCTCCAGAGACCAGGCAACAGGTCCTGTCCTAGCAGGTGTCTGTGCATTAGCAGTATGGACCTGGTCTGTGCTGACAGTGGGGCATCTTTCCAAAGAGGAGCAGCCCTGCATTTTCCCCTAATCCCTTGATTTACGGTGCTGGGCTCACCCCATTCCCACAAGAACCGGTAGGTTGGAAGGACTCAGCAGTTTTCCTACACTGGAGACACAGGGGAAAGGCCTTGCCGACCTCTGCCAAAAGCTTCTGGGAGCAAATGTCTCCCCACTGTAAGCACAGAGGGCAGGACGGGGGTGAGTATTGGAGTGAGAGCTGTCCTGCCAGGGCTTTCCACACGATCCTGCCCCTCGAGCCTCTCACACAGGGGTGCTTAGACTCACGTGTCGGAGTTGGGCTGGTTTCATGGACCAAGGAGAAGGTAACTAGCAGCTGTTCTCCCGGCCATGGTGTCAGCCTCTCCTTCCCTCCCTTAACCTGCAGGCTGAGACCATTCCCTGCACAAAGCCAACATCAGGCTGGGGAACGAACGGGGATCTCCACAGTCCCTTAATGCAACTGCGGTGCAAAGCCACCCATTTTAAGGTTTCTCCTGCCTCCATCTGCTTCCTGCAGCCTCACAGATCCCTCCCCATCCATCACACATTCCTCCTTACCCCTGGAGATCCTCCTCCTCTTTCTCTCTCCTAACAAAGAGTGATTCCCTCATTCCCTACAGGCCTTTCCCTCCCCATCTCTCCTTCTGCACTTCAACAAGACCTGACCTTCCCTCCAGCACCCGTCCAGAGCTTCTCCTGGCACCATCTACCCTAACTCCCAGGCTTTGTTCTCTTATGCTCCCATCCAAGACTACCGCAGGTACAGAGCTGGCCCCAGAGCTGATCCTAACAGGCATCCAATGCCTTGGTGCCGCCACCACCTCCTGGTGTCTCCTTGGGGCGTTGGCGAGGAGGAGTGCTCTCAGATGGGGGTTAGCATGTGTTAGCTGGTCTTGCTTTCCCGTCGGTTGTTTTAACAGGCACCGGGTGCTTCCTGAGCAGCACGAGAGCTCAGCTCCCCTGCGTTATAGGGCTTTCACCACCCACCTTGAGGGAAACTGCTTCTTTGTGAGACAATTTTACAGCGAGGTGCTCAGTCGATGCAGGTTATAATCAATTGGCAAGCATTTTTCATAGCTGATGGGTGGGCCTGATCCTGGTCACAGTTGAACCAGGGCTGATCAAAAAGTCAAGAGCTCCAGCCCTCCCAGTTTTGTGGGCGTCCATAGGTTTTGGACCAGGACCAGCCCCACCAACCAGCCTGAGGACATACCAAACATGTGCGGGCTGCTTGGGAAGTGCTCTGCAGAGCCACTTGTCACAGGGAAAACTCCAACAACTCGGGGGGGGGGGCATTTTGGTTTTGTGCACCAGCCGATTGCTCCGACAGCTTTGCAATGATGCTCTTTCTCTGCTTCCAGGACCCCGGAAAAAAACACTGGTGCTACAGACCAAGAACCAAGTACCTTAGTGCAGGACCAACCCACATGAAGTCGAGCACTTTCTTCTGAGCGGCAGTTGGAGCAAATGTATAGTCTGCATGAAATGTCTATCGTCTGGCTGGCATATAATAAAGCTGATGATCAGAGCTGAATGACAATTTCTCTTGTCTCTCAAGCGCTGAGAAGTTACTGTCACCAGGATCTGTGTAATGCAGTTAGCATGTCTGTGCCTTGATTTATATTCAGTAAAGTCAGAGAAAGAAAATGGGTCCACTTCTCCCTTTATTCACAGCTGTGAAATGGTGCTGGTTTCAGTCGTGTCTCTAGTTTACAAGGGCAACAGGTAGATCAGGTTCGCTTCCATAACTCATGGAAGTTTCATATTGGATTTTGGAGATAATTCCGGAAGCCTAGTTGATAGCATCAGCAGCTCTTTCCAAAAATCCACGGAAGATTTTATGCACTATAAATTCTTATCCGCTTTCAGGAACTCACATTTGGATGTTGCACACCTTGTGCAACATCTGGCAGATCCCGTTGTCATTGTGCGGTAGCCAAGAACATCTCAGACCTCCTTCTGAGACTGTTGACATTCCATTTGTTCAATTTGCCATTTAGGATAAAGGCTGGACAAGACACCAAAACCTTGCTGGCAAATTAGTGCGTTTTTTTTTTTCCTCAACATTTTTTCCAAAAATGTTTCATTGAAAAAAATTTAAAGGACTAACGGGAAATGTTGTAGGAGGAATGAGGCTGGTTCATGGGATTAGCAGGTCTGGTTGTTCTGTATGCCCATCTTTTCTGGGTGAGGGTCCCTATGTCCATCACACGTATGCAGCACATGATGGGAGATGTAATCCAGCCCTACAGCCTGTCCCCTATAGATAACTAACTGCATGAAGACTGCAATTCCAGCAAGGCACTGGCCCAGCCCACTCCAATAAATACTTCTAGGTTTAGGCTGAAGTGTTACAACACTTAGAGCTGGGATTTGCTTTACTTTCCACAGGTGCTAACTTTAAACAGAAGACTGCTCTTCCTTCCCAAATTAATTATGAAGGGCACTTCATCAGAGGTGGGGAGAGCTGGGCAGAACATGGAAGCTCCAAAGTCCTCCAGAACCAGAGGGTCTGGTTTGCTGGGTCTAGTTCAGAAGGAAACTGCTGTGGACTTGGAGAAGTCATTCAAGTATTTCAAAGTGAAAATGTAAGTCCATGATACACCTCCTCCTCCTCTATAAGTACTCCTCCTATACAGACCCCTGTTCTGTGCAGGAGTAAATCAAGAGTGATTCCAGCCATGGCTGGACCAACTTTAAAATGAGTGAATGTTTCAGGATGCCTTTACGTGCAGAGACCCTTGGTTACTACTGCAGTTTGCTACTCATATTGTACTAAGGGATGGATGCTGCTACTCACATTGTACTAAGACCTGTGATGGCCAAAATCCCAAGGGTGCCAAGAGCTGTGCAGACACAGAACAAAACCACAGGGACCCACCCAAAGGACCCTGAAAGTGAAGCAGGAACCTAAAATTGCCTCAAGCTCCTGATGTTCACATTGTGGTGAGTTGCCTTTGGCAACAGGAAGGTTGGAAATAACCTCTTTGTTACAAGGATAAAATACGGAGGAATATTTGTAGCAGCAGCATTTGTACAAACCAAGAAGAAACTAGAGTAAATCCCATCACTGAACCACTGCAAATCACCTCTAAGATGTGAATAGTAACTAATGAAATACTCACTACAAAGGGAAGTAGATTACATGCCTGTGAATAATTGCACCAAGCGTGTGCCTCGCTTAGTAGCTAAAGGGTCCTTGTTACATATGATTAAGTAATTAACTTTTTTTGTGTGTGTGTGTATAATTACCATGATTGAACAATTATTAGAGAGAGACCCAGTCCAAAGCTCCCGTGCCAGACATCAGTGGCCTGCAGGAAGTTTTGCCCCAGATCCCTGGAGCTGCTGGTGTCCCGGAGAACCAGGACCTGGATGGTGTCTTGCTGTTGCTCTGATGTCTCAGGTTCCATCACTTTCCTCTGAATTAGATGCACCCGAAGAAAAAAGGCACTGCAGATCCAGTCAGCCAAGGATCTTATCTATACGCAATTGTTTGTAGTAACCCAGACATCCATGGCAGAAAACATAAGAAAAAAGTTGTGTTCTCCCATCAGTATCTGATCAGGGAGCTGGCTTGGAGGGGCAGAAAAGCCAGCCCTAACATTCACCAAAATACAGGCTTTTCTCTGCCTCGTCGACTCCCTGAGACAGCTCAGCATAAAGGTGAGAGCAGTAACAAGTGGCCACCAAGTTTCATTTCACCAGTGGAAACTGTGGGAAAATGTGTCCGAAGTAGCAGGGTGAAATTTCACAGAGGCAGGTTTTGAAATGGCAGCTGATTTAAACGCTGATCCATATCAAGGCGGAAAATGCCCACTTCAGAAAACATTTATGTAACTCATAAATAACCACATCTTTTTCCACCAGCCTGGGTATGATACCTTAGGAAAAAAAAAAAAAAATCAGATTTCATTTCATTGGTGGCCTTCTACAACAGGGTTACGGCATTGGGGGATGAGGGTAGGGCAACTGGTATCACCTACCTGGACTTGTGCAAATCTTTTGAGAATTTCCCTTACAACAACCTTGTCTCTAAATTGGAGAGACGTGGGTTTGATGGATGGAGCACTCATGGGTAAGGAATTGGCTGGGGGGTCACACTCACAGCTGTGGTCGGTGGCTTGATGTCCAAGTGGAGAGCAGTGATGAGGGGTGTCCTCAGGGGTCGGGGTTGGCAACGGCGCTGTTGAACATCTTTGTTGGGGACATGGACAGAGGGGCTGAGCCCACCCTCAGCCCGTTCCCCCCGACCCCGAGCTGTGTGGGG